TTTAACGTTGTTATTTATAGATACAAGTATTTAAGCAAATGCTCTGTTTATGATAAACAGTATTAAATAACATTTACCGGCCTGAATGTCCGAGAAATTTTATAGAAATACTGTTTCGGACATTCGGCCAGAGCATTTATTTAAATACTTTTATCTATAAATAACAACATTAAACATAAAAATGTCATTTTAATAAAATGTCTTTAATAAAAATTGTCGGACCTTGTCCATTTCTTTATATATATATATATATATATATATATATATATATATATATATATGAAAGTATTTGTGAGTTCGTATATGTGATATGTGTGAATATATATGTAGGATCTAGCAATATGAATATATATGCATATATAGGTATATATGGGTATAGATTTGTCTTTATATATATAGACATAGAGAATTCTAATGGAAAGACATAAAATTCTTTTATTAATGTTTAATCTTACTTTCCCTTTAAATATTTTCTAATTAGAATTGTAAGATTGAAATTTTAATTATCTGGAGATAATTTCATTTTAAATTGATAATTTAAATTTAAATATATTACTCTTTAACGATTAGTCTTGATAGTAAAAGTATTAAAATTAGAAATGTATCTTTTTTTAAACACTTAATTCACCACCTAACGTTAAACGTTAAATGTAAAATTTAAGGAAAAATTTAAATAGATATAAATATGAATATGTGTAAACATTTGTAAATGTATGCGTAAGTATTTATATATGAATATGCATAGGTACATGTGTATATCGATACATATGTGTGTGCTTATGTATGTAATTGCACATGTAAATGAACGTATGTATATGTGAGGTTTACATAAATATATATGTGGTATATATATTAAAAACAACTTTTTTTTTTAATATTACCTTTAAATAATACTCCATCATAATTTGAAACCTAAACTTTAAGTACGAAATATTACCCATCTAAAAACAGTTATGAATTACATTCATGAATTAGATTCAAACTGATAAAGATGTTACCTTAACAGTCATTTACAGTATTAAAAGATTGCTATTAGTAAACTTTCATATTTTAAATCTTATCTTTTTTTTAATGTGTTTTTAAATATAGTATTCAACTCATATTAAATCCCTAATTTATTTGTAAAGGAGTTGAATATTTAAATTGCTAACAAGCATTAAATTAATTTCTTTGTGGATTTTTTAAACATTTAAATTACTATGAAACATTAAAATCTATTTTTACCTAAAATGCTAAAACTATACCACCCCTCTTCTTCCTCCGTAAACCCTAAATACATCTCCTTTCTCTTTACTTCCCACTTTTTGCTTTTTCTCTTTCTCTTTTCTCTCCTTCCCTTTCAACATATCATTTCTATTGAGTTGACCGATTAAATAGGTCAATGTCTGATCCTTACCCACTCCTTCCTCAATATTAAGTATGATAGAAAGAAATATAAAATAAACCCTCTCTAAACTCGACCATGTCTCTCACACCACTCCTTGCTACCTTCTCTGTTAAATTACATAAATTTAATACTACCCGTCAAAAGTGTAAATTTTCATTTCATTTTTTGTTTCACCTTTTGGAAGTGATGTCTGAGGATCCAGGGTACTTTAAAAGGTCTCTGGTGAAATAAACTATTACAATGGAGCCTTAAAGGGGTCTGTTTTTCTTTAAATTATTAGCTCTGAATTTACATTGAGTTCACAGTATTTCATCCTCCTTGGTACTACCCATACGGATTACCAAGTTTTCCATTACTTAATTAAATATATATATATATATATATATATATATTGATACAGAACAATACACAAGCATCATACAAAATATGCTACAGGATGATACCTACTATGAATACCAACCTCATAAAGTGATGAAAAAACTCAATTTAATACACCCATAATGAAACTGTCTTACTTCTAAGAAACGTGCCTACCTTACAAAATTTAGATATAAAACAAGAAGTTTTTTTATGGACTACCTAAAATATACAAAACTAAGCTCATCAATGAAACATGCAATTCTACAATAACTGATTTTGGGAATATACCAGCATCAACCAACCTAAAACTAAGGCCTATAATAGCATTTGCGAGACACACCATCTAATCAATTTTCTAGACCTCACATTGAAACCTCTTATCAAACATGTTTGAAGCTTCATTCAATATGATTTAGATTTTCTGAATCATCTGCCCAATGAGGTAAACAATAATACTCATATGGTCCCAATGGATATTGTAAACCGATACACAACATCTTGCATCACTATGGAATAGGCACTATTAAATACTGGCTAGAAGTGTTCCTTTATGATCTACCAAATTGTATCAAAGGAAATTTTGTCATAGAAAGCCTTGAATTCATCTTAGAAAACAACTATTTCTTGTTTGATGAAACACCCTACTGACAAAAAACCAATATGGAGGACAAAGGTTGCACCTACATATGCCAACCTAGTCATGGGACACCATGAATTAAAATTTAGGCAAGAATATCGGAAATCTATGGGAATGACTTCAGTCGCAACATAAAAGACAACTGGAAAACGTATCTAGATGACTGTTTTATTCTGTGGAATGAAAGTCTGGATAAACTAAAGACAATCCAAACATTCATTAATAATATAAATCCTAGCATCCAATTCACTATGGAGTACAGCAACAAAAAACTTCCCTTTTTAGATATATTAATAAGAAAAACAAACACTAAACTAGAAACCGGCATATGCTTTAAGCCGACTGGCTCTTGGTAGTATCTCCTTTTTACATCTTCCCATCTGAAACACACTTGTACCAAAATCCCACTCAACCTAACAAAGCAGATATGTACAATGGTCTCAAACACAGCCACAAGAGACCACAGATTAGAAGTGATGAAAATATATTCATCAAGAGAAAATACCCACAAAGTTTGATCAACAATAGCATTTGAAAGACAAAACAAATTAATATCCACACCGAGAAGTAAAAAGAATAAAAGATCATCTCTTATACATACACATACGACTAAATCTACCAATCCTACTAAAGGACAAAAGTACCCAATCTTCAAAAGTAAACAACCAAAATCACTAAAAAAAGTTACTGATGAGTGCAAAACTACAGAACACAATTAAGGACCCTCAGGTGAAAAAAATGCAACTGACCCTTTTGCGAAGTAAGCAGCTACCTATTAGAGGGCTATGAATTTCCTTTCAAAGACGGTTCCAAATTCAAAATTAAAAATGATTTCTAACTCAGAGAATTTAATATGCATAATTACATGCAAAGGTTGCCACAAGCATTGCTACAAACCAGCCAGTCACTCCAGCAAAAGATAACAGTTCAACACCTATAAATTAGAGATCCCTATACAAAATCACCCCTAACCAACATACAGAGGAATATGGAGGACAAAATCTGCCAAATTTTAGGCTCTTCCATTCAACCAATGTCACTACAGAACCACCGAAAAAAGGCAGATTAATAAAGAAACATTTTTTATCAACAAGTTCAAACCATATTTAATTCATTGCAAGAACAGATTCTACCAAATTTTCCTTATGATAAGCGACATATATAGTCAGTTACACCCCTTAATTTTTCATTTTTTTCATTTGTTCAAAACATAAGTGTCAACACGTGGAGATATAAAGAGTTAAAAACATTTTTAAAAGCTAAGCAAAACAAAACCAGTTAAAGTAAAAAAGTAAAACAACAGGTTATTTTTCTAGTAAAAAAAACACTGAAAATCCAATTGTAACAGTTTTAATTTTAATATTTCTCTGTAAAAATACATACATTATAAATGAATATAAATATTACATGCTTTTTTCCAATTCTTATTTTAGACTATACAACAGTTTTTGTACATATTTTAACTATATATATATATATATATATATATATATATATATATATATATATGAGGGCTGATAAAAACTATCAGGACTGGTGCTATAAAAACAAAATTACAACACATATCAATTCAGCATTTATTCTCATTCGAAGGAATCATCTTCTAAACAAATTAAACAACTCAAGCAAACCAAACAAGAATGTTACAACTTAGCATGCATGTGTGACAAAGTTCAAGGTCAATCTGTGCCCAGTGGCTTCACTTCATGTACTTTAACTCTGTTACCATAGCGACAGTCCCGATACTTTTGATCAGATCTTGTGTAAATATATATATATATATATGGAGTATTGCTGCCATATACATACAAATCAACCATTCGCCCTTTGCATGGAGTATTGCTGCCATATATGGTCTGGGGCACCTTCTGTTTACCTCGGAGTTCTTGACAAGATCCAGAGACAAATATGTAATACAATTGGCCCTGATCTGGCATCTCGCCTACAGTCACTATCTCACAGACATGCCGTTGTCTCTCTTTGTCTTTTCTACAAATACTTTCATGGTAATTGTTTTGATGAGCTGCTTTCACTGGTTTCCAGACTCCATGAATTCAAGCGTCCTACGAGGCTGGCATGCCGCTCTCACCCTTTCACTGTAGAAACTTTTAAATGTAGCTGTCTCTTCTACTCCAATAGCTTCATACCTCGCACCTCTTGCCTGTGGAACACCCTTTTCAATTACTGTTTCCCTGAGAGCTATAAACTCCAACTATTCAAATGTAATGTCAACCAACATCTCTAGTTAACTTGGTCTATCCACTATCCTTCTCCTCATCCTTTCTTCTATCACTCCTATCTGCTCTCGCTCCAAATCTTCTGCAACCCCTGCAACCCCCTGCATCCTAGTGGCTGCACTCCTTGCTCAGGGCATAATGCTTAAAATATATATATATATATATATATATATATATATATATATATCAAATGATATATATATATATATATGCATGTGTGAGTGGTTGTATGTGGTATGTATGTCTGTCAATGGTGGCAGGGTGGATTTTTATAGTTCCAAGGAAATTACATTTCTTTTCTGAAGCTAGTTCTAGGAATCTTTCACAGCATGTCTCCTTGAAACCTGCCAAAACAAAAAAAAAAACAAAAAAATAACAG